TTTACAATAATTTTTTGTGCTGAATTTAATTGCCTGATTTAATGTTAATTTTTAATTTAATCTTTTAATTATTGAGGCTCAGGCCTAAGTGGATTTAAGTGAGAAAAAGTCAATTAAAAGAATCATAGAAATGACTTTGTTCCATTGTTTTGAATCATGTTCTGGTCCGGCATATATGTCTGTTATATGTCTGATATATGTCTGATATTGACTGTTGAGTGAAGAAGGTGGAATTTGCCTTGCATGTGGTCATAAGATAGAGGAGCAGAAGTAGATCATTTGGCCTGTTAGGTCTGCTTTGCCATTCCATGACGGCTGAAATGTTTCTCAACCCCAATCGCTGCCTTTTTCCTATAACCCTTGATTCCCTTACTAATCAAGAACCTATCTATCTCTGTCTTAAATACACTCAGTGACTTGGCCTCAACAGACTTGTGCAGCAATGAGTTCCACAGATTCACCACGCTTCAGCTGAAAACTTCCTCCTCATATCAGTTCTAAAGAGTAGCTCCTTCACTATGAAGCTGTGCCCTTGGGTCCTAGTCTCTCCTAGTCATGGAAACAGCTTCTCCATGTCCACTCTGTACAGGATTCTCAGTATTCTGTAAATTTCAATGAAACCACATCCCCCTCCCCTCATTCTTCTAAGCTCCATCGAGTACATACCCAGAGTCCTCAACCACTCCTTGTATGACAAGCCCTTCAATCTCAGGATCATTCTTGTGAACCTCCTCTGGACCCCCTCCAAGGCCAACACATCCATCCTTAGGTACAGGGCCCAAAACTGCTCTCAGAATTTCAAATGCAGTCTGACCAGAGCCTCATACAACCTCAGCAGTATGTCCCTGAGCTTGTATTCTAGCCCTCTCAAAATGAATGCTAACGTTGCATTTGCTTTCTTAATTGTGAATTGAACCTTATGTTAACCTTAAGATTATCCTGAACAAAGACCAGGCCCTTTGTACTTCAGATTTCCAAAGCCTTTCTGCATTTAGAAAATAGCCACATCTCTATTCTTTCAACCAAAGTGCATAACTCACGCTTTACCACATTATATTCTATCTGCCATATCTTTACCCACGCTCCTTGCCTGCCCAAGTCTTTCTGCAGCCTCCCCACTTCCTTAATGCTATCTGTCCTTCCACCCATCTTTGTCATCTGCAAACTTAGAAACTATGTGGTCAGTTCCTTCAAACAGAACATTAATGTATAATGTGAATAGTTGTGGTCCCAACACTAACCTCTTCAGAACTCTACTGGTCACTGGCCACCATCCTAAAAAAGATCCCTTTTATCCCCACCCTCTGCCTCTGTCAATCAACTAATCCTCTATCCATGCCAGTACCTTGCCCCAACACCATGGACTCTTAAACCTTATTTAACAGGCTCCCATGTAGCACCTTGTCAAAAGCCTTCTAGAAATCCAAATAGATCACATTCACTGACTGGCCTTTGTCTAGCTTGCTTATTACTTCCTTGAAGAATTCCAACAGATTTGTCAGGCATGCCCTCCCCTTGACAAAGCTGTGCTGACTTAGCCCTATTTTTTAATGCACTTCCAAGTACTCCAAAATCTCATACTTAATTATGGATTCTAAAATCTTACCAATGACAGAGGTCAGGTTAACTGGCCTATAATTTACTGTCTTCTGCCTTCTTCCCTCCCTCCCTTAAACTGTGAGGATACCCTTCATAACTTTGAGTGCTGATTCTTTGGTTTGGGTTCATATTTGGTTCCTTTGTAATGAAGTAACAGGAACGTCAGTATCCTGACAAATCAGGTGACTTCGATTTAAAATCTAAAACTGAGCTTGACTATATTCGTGGTAAATATGATTCCTGGTGTGTCAAATGATGTGCAGAGGTTTTCTTAGACCATAGGTACCAGTGCAGTAGTTAGTAGGTGAACAAACCATTAATTAAATTATTTGCAATTACATTTGTTATTAAGCAGTCACTACCAGCGTTTAGAGCAGACTACCCGGTTACTCCTGTATGGAACATGGTTGGTATTTGCCAAGACCAATCATTCCAATAATTCCGATGGTTTTTCTGATTTCTGTTCTGACAGGAAGCTCTTTGTTCTGTGATTTATAATGTGTACATATGTTGAAATTATTTCTTTTAAGTGATTCAATGCAAATGCATTGATTCATGATCTTGACAATAATGGAAGGTAAACAAAGGGAAAACTAATGTTTCTACCCACTTGAAGTCAAGTAATTCCATCCATTTGCAGTAACCTTGAAGCATCTACATTGACCACAAATCATAACGAGCATTATAATTACCTGATATCTTTCAGCAAAATATTTTCAAACTACTTTCTCTTCCGCCAAGTTGGTCCCTGAAACCAGGGCCAGCTTTGCCTGCTCAGGTGAATGTACAATTCTGAAGAAGAACAGGGGAGTTATTCCTTATATCCCAATCAATAGTTATCCCACAACCCACATCACAGAGACAGGTTATCTAGTCATTATCACATCGCTGCCTACGGAAATTTGCTCTGCATGTACTGGCTGCTGCATGTCCGACTCTAAATCAGACATAATTTCAAAATTGCTTAATTAGTTGTAAAGCACTTGAATATTGGTTATGAAAGGCACGATATAAGTGCTAATGTTTTCCTTTCTCTGCTGATAACCATATTTAAAGCAGGAATTGAAAAACTTTGGTTTGAATTATGTGCATCAAAAGACATGGAGTTCCAGCTGAAGATCAGCTGCAAACTAGTTGAATGGCAGAAAAAGCCTGAAGAGCCATATAGCCTTGTTCCTTATTTTATTTTCTTATCACAGGATAATTATGATGCAGAAGGAGGCCATTCAGCCCATCATGCCTGCAATAGCTCTATTATCCAGTCTGGCTCTAGTATCTTGAGCCTTGTCACCATATCCCTGTGCACCATTACTATGGAAAAAAAAATCCAATGCCATTTTGAATGCCTCAGTTGACCCTGCCTCCTCCACATTTGCAGGTAGTGCACTCCATATCCCAGCTACTTGCTGTGTGAAAAAAAGTTTACCCTTACTTTATTTGTACTTCACATTGAATATGTGCTCTCTTGTTCCATTTCTTTTATGAGTGGAGACAACTTCACGCTATCTACTCTGTCCAGTGTGATTCTACAAACTGCAGACTTTATTTAGATTCTCTGCATGCTCCATTCCTCAGCTTACTTTCGTTTAATTGGCAAAATTTCTTCCCAGTCTCAAGTCTGCCATAACTTAAGGCTTCTTATCACAAGCCCCGGGACTGACCACTAGCCAAATTTATCTTCCCCAAATTCGAATGCTCCACACCCATAGTTCCAATTTTTTTCTCCCAGCTTGCTTGCAGTACTGAAGGAAATGCATAAGTGTACTCAGAAAAATATGTTCCCAGAATATATTAAGTAATGCTGCTAGAATTTGCCCTGAAGCATTACAACTGTGGGATCTCCAATGGTTGATATTATTTCCTCCCTGGCTGACAGTATGTTCAAGTGCCCTTCTGAACTGATTTAGTTGTTTTCTTTGCTACTTTCATGGGATGCAAGCATCACTGGCAAACCTGGCATTTCTCACCCATCCCTAACCACCCATCCTCTGGTTAGACCACACTTGGAATACTGTTCTGGTTAGACCACCCTTGGGATATTGTGTTCAGTTCTGGTCACCTCATTACAGGAAAGATGTGGAAGCTTTAGAGAAGGTGCAGAGGAAATTTGCCAGGATGCTGCCTGGACTGGAGGGCAGGTCTTATGAGGAAAGGTTGAGGGAGCTAGGGCTTTTTTCATTGGAGCGAAGAAGGATGAGAGGTGACTTGATAGAGGTGTACAAGATGATGAGGCATAGATGGAGTGGACAGTCAGAGACTTTTTCCCAGGGCGGAAATGACTATTACGAGGGGCATAATTTTAAGGTGATTGGAGGAAGGTATAGGGGAGACATCAGAGGTAGGTTCTTCGCACAGAGCGTGGTGGGCGTGTGGAATGCGCTGCCGGCAGTGGTAGTGGAGTCAGATACTTTAGAGACATTTAAGCGACTCTTGGATAGGCACATGGAGGATAGTAAAATGTAGGGTATGCAGGGTAGATTGATCTTAGTAGGATAATAGGTCGGCACAGCATCGTGGGCCAAAGGGCCTGTACTGTGCTGGAGTGTTCTATGTTCTAATTACCCTTGAGAAGTTGATGGTGAGTCACCATCTTGAATGTGTCTGCTAATGCACCACGATGCTATTACGGAGGTAAATTCGAGATTTTGAACGATAGTAAACGAATGGTGTGATACAGGTCAGAATGGCATGTGGCATTGAGGGAAACTGTAAGATGTGGTGTTTGAATGCGCCTGTTACCTTCTAGACTGTAGAACTCCCTGGTTTGAAAATTGTTCGAAGAGGCTTGGCAAGTTGATGTATTGCATTTTGTCTATGGTACACACTGCTGCCCTTGTCCACTGATGATGGAAAGAGTGAATATTTAAAATTATGGATGGGTTACTGATCAAGCAGGCTGCTTTGCCCCGGCTGATTGTTGGAGCTGCACTTATCCAGACAAGTGGGGAGTATTCCATAGCACTTCTGACTTGTGCCGTGTAGGTGAACAGTCTTTGGGGAATCAGAAGGCAAGGTCCAGTTATCTGTTTATGTACTCACAGTACTTTATATGATTGGTCCAGTTTTTTTTCTCTCAGTTGTCATCTCAAAATGTTGATGATCAGGGAATCAGTCCTGTCCTTGAATTTCAATTGGAGATTGTTAGGTTCTGAATTGTTGGGGATTGTCATTGCTTAGCACTTTTGGAATGTGAACGTTAATTCCTGCTATCGTACCAGATCTGAATGTTGTCCAGGTGCTGTTGCATACTAGCACTGACTGCTTTAGTGTCTGAGGTGTCTTGTATGGTTCTGAATACTGCAATTTTTTTTTCTTGTGTGTGGGCGTTGCTGGCTGGTGAACATTTAGTGCCAGTCTCTGGTTGTCCTTAAGGTGGTGGTGGTGAGTTGCCTTCTTGAACCACTGCAGTCCACCTGCTACGGGTTGACCCACAATGCCATCAGAGAGGAAATTCCAGAATTTTGACCTAGTGACTGTGAAGGAACGGCAATGTATTTCCAAATCGAGGTAGTGAGTGGCTTGGAAGAGATGTGCAGGTGTGATGTTGCCATGTTTCTGCTGCCTTTATCCTTCTTGATAAACATATTCATGGGTTTGGAAGGCGCTATCTGAAGATCGGTAGTGAATTTCTGCAATGCGTCTTGTAGATACTACACACTGCTGCCACTGAGCATTGATGGTGGAAGGAGTGAATGTTTGTGAATGTGGAATCAGACAAGCTGGCATTGTCCTGGGAGGTGTCAGGCTTCTTGAGTGTTGTTGGAGCAGCACCTATCCAGACAAGAGAGGAGTGTTCTATCAAATACCTGACTTGTGCCTTGTGGATAGTGGGCAGGCTTGGGGCATGAGTTACTCATCTCAGTATTCTTAGCATTTGACCTGATCTAGTAACTACTGTGTTCATTGGGCAAGTCCACTTAAGTTTCTGATCATTGGTGACCTCAGGATGTTGACAGTGAGACATTATGTGGTGGTAACACCATTGAATATCAAGGGGTGGTGGTTAGATTGTCTCTTATTGGAGATGGTCATTACCTGGCATTTGTGTGGCACAAAAGTTACTTGTCACTTTTCAGTTCAAGCCTTTTTGTCCAGATGTTGTTGCATTTGAACCTGGGCTGGCTCGGTATTTGAGGAGTCGTGAATGTTGCTGAACATTGTGCAATCATTGGCAAACATCCCCACTTCAGACCTTATGATTGATTGAAGCAACTGAAGATGTTTGGGCCTATGACACTGCCCTGAGGGACTCCTGCAGAGATGTCTTGGAGCTGAGATGACTGATCTCCAACTACCACAACCATCTTCCTTGTGCTAAGTACAACCGCAACTAGCAGAGAGTTTTCCCACTGATTCCCATTGATTCCAGTTTTGCTAGGGCTTCTTAATGCCACATTTGATCTCTCACTGCCTTGATATCATGGATAGTCATTCTCACTTCACTTGTCTGTGTTTTGACCAAAACTTCAGTGAGATCAAGCACCAGTTGGTGTTGGTGGAAGCTAAGCTGAAAATCACTGGGCAGCTTATTGCTGTGCACGTGCTGCTTGACCACTGTCAACAACCCCTTCCATCACTTTTTATTTAATTTAAAGTAGAATAGGTGGTAACTGGCTGGGTTGAACTTGTTATGTTTGTTATTGGGCAGGGCAGATCCAGGCAATTTGCCACATTATTAAGCAGGTGTCAGTGTTCTAACTGTACTGGAACAGTTGACATTTCAGAGCTTAAGTCTTTGGTAGTGCTGCTGAGGAATGTCATCAAGGTTTTTGTAACCTTTACTAAATGATAGTGGTTCCAGCACTTATCACCGAGCAATATTATTTCACTGACCAGTTTGTCTGCTGTATCCAGTATTACAGATTTCTGATAGTACAGCAATTCAGTTTTAACAAGAGTGCTGTTACATGACCTTAGTGAAACCACACCACGAACACAATGTACAGTTTTGGTCTCATTATTTAGGAAGGGATGTATTTCTATAAGATGCAGTTCAGCGAAGGTTCACTGAATTGATTCTGGAATGAACAGGTTGACTTATGAAGAAAGTTGGACAAGTTGGATCTGTATCCACTGGAGTTTAGAAGAATGAGAAGTAACATTATCATCCTGAGGGGACTAGACCTGAGTGGATACTGAGATAGTTCCTCTTCTGAAGGGAACTGGAGCTGGAGGCTCTGTCTAAAAAGTGTTCTCCCCTGTAAGATAGCAATGTGCAGAATTTGTTTTCTCTGCATGTTGTTAGTCTGTGGTTTTCTTAGTGGTGGAGGCAGAGTAATTGAATATTTTGAAGTTTGAGTTATATTCTTGAAATGCAATGGAGTCAGAGAGAACTGGGAATAGGCAGGAAAGTAAGGGTCTTAATTAGATCAACTATGACCTCATCAAACAGCAGAGCAAGCTCAAGGAATCGAATGGTCTATTCCTGCTCCTAATTCATATATTTGTACTTGTGTATTTGTGTCATAAATTGTGGTGATTGTGTTTTCTTTGCCAAGTGTCATGATGTGTTTTGAGTGTTTCATTTTTAATGGAAAACATGCAAAAAGTGCAAAACAGAATATGCTTAGATCTTAGAGTGATATGAGATAAGAGCTGGCAAGTGAAACTCTTTGAAACAACTGTCTCAGAGGGACCTACTGGCCTCCTGAGTTTTATTTTTGTGAAGTTACTCATTATCTTTGTATATGTTTTGATAGGGTGCAGCTGGAAATATAATTAATATGCTGTGGCAGTTGATGGAAAATGGACTGGAGGAACTCAAGCTTCTCCAAACCGTTCTGGTTCTTTTGACAACCAACACAGTAGTGCACGACGATGCCCTTGCTAAGGTAAGAGGTGTAAGGAAACTGCAATGCGCACTTGAGCAACACTCCCAAGTGAAACTGGCTATTTGACAATATTTAATGTCATTAAGTAATGAAGCCCAATTGTGCACTAGCTAAATTCTCAAGGTTGTTGGTTATCAAACTGCAGTAATATATTATTAAACATAGAAGTAGACTTCAGCCTGGGATTTGGTTTAATTATAATCTTTACAGTTTCATTTATTTCAGTTCATTTTTCTCCTTGAGAGGTCGAAGTGAAGAAAGTTAAACATAGTGTTGAAATGAACGGTTTGGCAGTGTAATTACAAAGATACCAAATATTATTTTGAGATGTCATATGATTTTGGCGCCATGTTTTCAGTGTCCATAATTCATATCTGCAATGTGTTGAAACTGGGGAGGGTGGGAGGTGGTGAAGATTAATAATAATGATTTACCTTGGCCGGACCCAATGGCAGCTGGAACTTTAAAACTGCACCAGTTAACAAATGAAAATAATTCCATATGTGACCCTCGCTTGGGAAGTTATCAACCTGGGAAATGAGATTTGCTTTAGGAAAGGTTGTGCATTTTTGTCAGTCAGTGTCTTGTATTCTGCTATATCGTTTTCTTGCTTTCCAATGGTCATTTGGTTTCCAGAAATGAAATTGCCACAACTTAAAAGGTTTCAAAAAAGTATGTATTGCTTCTTTTCTCACTGTTTCTCGAACATCATATTGCTGTTTTTTGGCATCATGTTATGTTTTAAGATAGACCATTTGTCAAAGCTGCTATGCAACATTGATTAAATAGTTACTGTTTTTAAGTTTGAGTGTCATGAAGCTACCAGTTGGAAAGCAAGATCTTATGATAGTGTGGACTGAAGCATGTCAAATTTGGGACGGTGCCCATCAGTTCACAGTTGAAAATAACTGTGCATATGATCCTCACTTGGAACACTATTGACTCAGCATTGTGAAGTAGAATGGATGCTTGCAAGGGCTATGAATGTTCACTTCTGGCTTTAGATGCTCTTTTTAACTGGCAGATCATCCATCAGTGATGGTGTATGCTGGGTAACGTAAGTTTCCTCACCTTGTTTATCACCTTGATTAACCAGGTAAACATTCTCAGGGCCCAAGAGTGCCACTTACTATAATGAGAATGTTCTGAGCAGCAGCTAAAGGTCTGTGTTTCTTTGTGTAACCTTTGGTTGCCATTGGCATCAGTCAGTTAATTCCCTGTTGTGTTGACTTGTCTGTGTATGTCTAGAATGGCATGCTATTTCAGACAGTAGAGTTATAGATATACCATTGCTGCTATGGTATCAGACTTTATAAATCTTGACTTAATACTATATGGCGGATATGCTTTTTTGTGTGAATTTGATATTTCAAAACTTATTCAGTGATCAATCTAATGAAAAATGTGCACGGAATAAAATGAGTCTAAGATGTATGTTATCTTCTCCATTTCCTGCAATGATTATTGGCCTGTGTGGCAATTTATGGGCAGGTTTTTGTTCAGTTAATGATACCCACTGGCAGCTAGACTAATTCTGTTCAAGCGCATTTTACAAATGTCCCTTGCAACATGACTTTCGTGCCTTCATCTTGGACCAAGATTTGAGCCGTGATATGAAAGTTAAAATGAGAATATCTAAACAAGTCTGCTTCCTGATTTCTTTTGAATTGAATAACCTGAAATCAACCTTGCCCTCATATTATTGCAACTCTAATGACAGCCAAGGTTATGTATTTTATTTGATGTAAACAAATTAATGCTGTATGTATGGATTTAAGCTAATGATTTGTGAAATTTAAACTGTCATGACTATTTAAATTTATTCTGATGCTTATATGTAATGTGTTCCTATGCAGAAATTTTGACTACATTTTGAGTGATTTCAGTAATCCTTTCTAGTCGCATTGTGAGATGTTCAGGTGTTCATTATTTCATTTGTGCTATTAGAGCAATTAGGTTTGTTGAAAATTGATTTTGATCTTCTGATCTTCCCTTATCTTTTATCCAATCGTGTTTGTTATGAATAGCTTTATTCTCAATTGTTGTCCCTGCTGCCTCATGTAAATGTAGAAATGAAAAATGAACTTGTAAACACAAGAAATCAGTCATCTTCTTTAAAAAGATTCTGATGAGTCATAGCTGATGCCTTTTTTTCTTTTAGATACTTGCAGACTTTTCTTGTACTTGCTGTTTATTTTTCATACCTCTAGAATTTATTCCTCCAGTAGGTCTAAGATGTCAGTTGTAGTATTTTCGGGTTGCCTTTTAATGTTTTTCCTTCACATAATACTCCTATTCATCCTTAATATTCATGAACCTTTTAGTAAGCCCACCCACTTAGACATTAGCTAGTTTCCGAGGAAGCAGCACAAACCTTTCAACTTCCAAATGAATGTTCTGTATAAATTCCTGAATTTTCTGACAAAATATTGTTTAGATTGCTGAAATTTTGTTCATTCTTAAATACCTCATATAGAAATTTGTGAGTGAAATCTCTTGAACAGGGTCATTCCTGGGAAGTAATTAGTTTTCTTTACAATTACAAATGAACCTTATGCTCACAAAACTTATTTCCACATTATTTTAGGCAATTGTACTTTGCTTTCGGCTACACTTTACCAAAGATAATATCACCAATAACACAGCAGCAGCTACAGTACGGCAAGTGGTTACAGTTGTCTTTGAAAGAATGGATGCTGAAGATGAGCAGCATAAAGGTGAGTTGAAGTATTTCTGCATTCTGGTGCATGCTCATGCATCAATTCACTTTCAGAAAAATATTGAGAGCTCTAGAGATGTTTTTCCCTCAATTTATAACTCATTCACTTTAGGAAAAAATACGCAGCAAGTATAATCTTATGCCATAGCAGTTAAAGAGTCATCAGAGAATCCCTACAGTGTGGAACCAGGACCTTTGGCCCAAAAACTCCACACCGACTCTCAGAGCATCCCACTCAGACCCGTCCCCCTATAACCCACCTAATCTACACATCCCTCAACATTATGGGCAATTTTTCATGGCCAGTCCACCTAGCCTGCATACTTTTGGACTGTGGGAAGAAACCGGAGCACCCAGAGGAAACCCGTGCAGACGTGGGGAGAATGTGTAAACTCCACACAGACAGCCGCCCAAGGGTGGAATCGAACCTGGGTTCCTGGCACTGTGAGGCAGCAGTGCTAACAACTGAGCCACCATGCCCCCCGAGCTCTAGTGTTCTTACTAGACATTTATTCACCTGTAGTTCTACTTTATTTCATATTGCTCACATTAACCTTGATAAATTTTAGCCTTTCTTCATTAATATATTCCAGAAGAAATAATTTTCAAAACCTTGAGTCTTCCCTTAACATCTAGAATTTCCAAAGGCCAAAAATTTAATCTAAATCTTTCATGTAAAAGTTATTTAAGTTTTGTTCTTTCAATCACCTAACTTCATACAATGAAATAACCTTTGGGGAGTTAGGAACAAAAACAAAGTTGCTGGAAAAGCTCAGCAGGTCTGGCAGCACCTGTGAAGGAAAAGACAGAGCTAACGTTTAGGGTCCAGTGATCCTTCCTCAGAACTGATGGTGACTGGGCAAACATCAGTTTATATGCAGAAAATAGGGAGGTGGGTGGGATAGGGAGTAAACAATAGGATAGAGCCCAAAGAGAGAGAAAGACAGTTGGACAGACAAAGGAGTAGATAACGATCAGGTTGGGAGGATGAATAGTTATTAATGGGGACTGTTAGTGACTAACAACAGGGGAAGTGTACTGGCAGGCTATGTGGTAACAAGGCCTGGTGTGTGGGGTAGGCGGCTGGGACATGGGAGAGTTTAGGCCCTAAAATTATTAAACGCAATATTGAGGCCCGAGGGCTGTAAGGTTCCCAAGCGGAAAATGAGGTGTTGTTCCTCCAGCTTGCGTTGGGCTTCACTGGAACACTGCAGCAAGCCAGAGACAGAGATGTTGGCCAGGGAGCAGGGTGGTGCATTAAAGTGGCAGGCCACAGGTAGTTCAGGGTCTTTTTTTGCGAGCAGAATGTAGATGTTCTATGAAGCGGTCGCCAAGTCTACGCTTCGTTTCCCCAGTGTAGAGGAGACCACATTGTGAGCAGCAAATGCAGTAGACTAGATTCTGGGAAGCAACACTTCCCCTGAAAGTATGTTTGGGCCCTTGGATGCTGGGGAGGGAGGAGGTAAATGGGCAGGTGTTGCACCTTCGCCGGTTACGGGAGAAGGTGCCATAGGGCTGTCAGGGGGTGTTGGGGGTCAAGGAAGTGTGGACCAGGGTGTCCCGGAGGGAATGGTCCCTGCGGAAGGCGGACAAGGGAGGCGAGGGGAATATGTATCTGCTGGTGGCATCTTGCTGGAGGTGGTGGAAATGGCATCTGATCTTCTGGATGTTAATGCTGGTGGGATGGTAGGTGAGGATAAGGGGAACCCTATTGCTGTTGCGGGAGCGAAGAGAAGGGGTGAGGATGGAAGTGCGGGAGATGGGTCGGACCTGGTTGAGGGCCCTGTCGACAACTGAGCAAGGGAATCCTTGGTTGAGGAAGAAGGTAGACATTTTGGAAGCTCCCTTGTTGAAGTTAGCCTCACCTGAACATATGCGACGGAGACAGAGGAATTGAGAGAATGGGATGGAGTCCTTAAGGAAGTGGGGTGTGAGAATGTATAGTCCAGGTAGCTGTGGAAGTCAATGAGTTAGTAGTGGATATTAGTGGCCAGTCTATACCCAGAAATGGAAACAGAAATGTCGAGGAAGAGAAGGGAGGAGTCAGAGATAGACCAGGTGAAAGTGAGGGCAGGGTGGAAATTGGAGGTGAAATTGATGAAGTTTTCCAATTCCAGATGAGAGAGGGAAGCAGCACCAATGATATCATTGATGTATCGGAGAAAGAGTTGTGGTAGGAGCCGGAATAGGACTGGAACAAGGAATGTTCCGCGTACCCCATGAAGAGACAGGCATAACTAGCGCCCATGCAGGTACCCATGGCCACCCCTTTACCTGAGGAAAATGAGAGGAGTTAAAAGAGAAGTTGTTGAGGGTGAGGACAAGCTCAGCCAAGGGTGGAGGTGGGTGGGGATGGTTCAGGAAGAAGCAGAGAACCCTAAGACTCTCCTGGTGGGGAATGGACGTGTAAAGAGATTGCACGTCCATGGTAAAGAGGAGGCGGCTAGAACTGGCAAACTGGAAGTTTTGGGGAGTAAGCTTGCCCATAACTCTATGACACCATGTGTAGTTCCAGCTATCAAAAGACCCACATCTCCAGAAGTGATGCTAAGGGAGTGCCTAAGAATAAGACAGTAAATGTATTACTGATGACATTTTGCCGTTACACAAATGCACGGTATAAAGGTATTTTCCTTCAGGTTATATATTTCATTCCTCTAGACAATTTGATATCAGCATGACGCAGTCGAACTGCTTTACCCAAAGCAACACCTGGGTTCGATTCCACCCTTGGGCAACTGTCTGTGTGGAGTTTGCACATTCTCCCTGTGTCTGCGTGGGTTTCCTTCAGGTGCTCCGTTTCCTCCCACAGTCCAAAGATGTGCAGGTTAGGTGGATTACAGGAGGATGAGTCTGGGTGGGATGTTCTGAGGGCGGTGTGGACTTGTTGGGCCGAAGGGCCTGTTTCCACACTGTAGAGATTCTATGATCTATGAAAATAAAGTACAAATAATGACTAGTGCTCTAGCCATTGAATTCTGCATGCCACACCAATAGCATTGAGCACAAATAATATGAATGTATCATTCCCCTCCAATCAGGAAGTTTTTGACTTCCAGGAAATGCACATCCTGGGCTAATTTTTGAGAAAATCTTCCTTTATTGTCTGAACACAAGTTATTTTTCAGACACTGTCCAGTTTCTCTGCTTATTGGTTGTCTTTTAGTTCTTTATCTTTATTTTTCATTAATTAGATATCTATCTGCAGAATGATACTATCAGCATATAAAGCCAACTCAAGTGATGTGTCACTCAAAGCGCTTTTGTGGTAAATGAAGATAAATTATTATTATTATTACCTTGTGTAAAATAGGGAGAAAATTGGTCTAAATTGTTTCCAATTGGAACTGGTTGTCTAGTTATTTCAGATTAATATCAGAAAAGTATTCTTCCTGTCGAGTCTAGTTACCTTTTAGAGAGGAGAATTGTCAAAGAGAAAGAAATCTTATTTCCTCAAATAAATGCATCTGGTTAAAATCTGGATTGGATTATTGAAATCATTATGAAAGGTACTTACTTGTTAATACTTAGGCATTAATTTTACTTTTGTTCCTTCAAAAGACTTAACATGAAAAGTAAATGAACCCTAAAGCATGGCAAAATCCGTAGGGACTTTTAAAAATTACCTGCTCCCAATCTATGTCTGTCTATGCACACTAATTGTGGAGAACTCTATGCCGACTCAGAGATCAGCTCCATGAAGAGGTCCTAGTGCAAAATCTGTTGGTTCTCCACTTACTTCATTCAAACATCTATTTCCTAGAATTCCTTTGTTGAATTTTTGTAAGCAGTAGGCCATTTTTCAAATCTAACAGTGCAATATAAGCAAGGTTGTAAAATGCTGCACATTTTAACCAGAGATAATAGGAACTGTCGATGCTGGAGAATCTGCGATAACAAGGTGTAGAGCTGGATGAACACGGCAGGCCAAGCAGCATCAGAGGAGCAGGAAGGCTGACGTTTCAGGCCTAGGCCTTCTTCATTTTCTGAAGAAAGGCCTACGCCCGAAATGTCAGCTTTCCTGCTCCTCTGATGCTGCTTGGCCTGCCGTGTTCATCCAGCTCTACACCTTGTTATCGCACATTTTAACCACTTGGGATTTTGCTCATTTCGTAAGCTTTTTCATTTGGCCATTTGTCTGACATTGGTTCTGTTAGCCTTTTGTTTTTCTGCAGTAAATTATTCACATTGCAAAGCATATCACCATAAACTTTGTTACTTAGGTTGGTTGGAAGATGTAAATTTCAACGCATTGAAGAGTTGAAGTTATGTTCCATTTCTAGAGATTTTCCTTATACCACCTGTGACCAGGACTTGCCCGTCTGGAAAGTTTGACTGTACATTTCATGGTTTAGTAATGGAGTTTTGTTTAAATTGTCATTGTTACTGAAGATTAAAACTCAATTAATTATTTTGTCCACAACTTTTACCCTGAACTCTAAGGTACTGAACATTGATCTAAGACATAGGAAAAGATGAAAAAGCTGAACTCGTTCTTGCTTGCTTATGCATATTCAGTTGAATTTTGTTTTGACTTCGATATTTGCACTATATCTAGTATGTGGTAGTCAATATCCAATAGATTACTTAGTGCAATTGTCTGAACAACAGAGCAAGATAATTTGCCTCCTTTGTGGGGTGGATGGAGATTGGGGAGCAAACGCAATTGATGAGATAGATCTCTTACTTGCAAATTAAGTGAGGTTAAATAGAATACAGAAAGTTTTGCTCTCTTTGGTTTAGCTCAGCACATCTAAAACAAAACTAGATAGGATGTTTGAGAGCTGCTGGCTCCTGTAGAATATGCCAACATTGATATTACCTTCAGAGTGAGCAGAGGGAAAGTGCAGTAAATTAATTTGTGCGAGTAGAATTTTCCCTGGGGAAATAATTAGTAAATAGGAATTGATTTGTAAATAAAATCATGGAGACATGTGATTGTCAATACAATTAAAACAAGTATGAACTTCAATACAAAGTGCAGAGTGCAATGGACCCTTCCTATATAGTAGTTTTATGATGGTCTGCTTGAAAATTGTGCAGTTTGCAGAAATGAAGAACTATGTTCCCAGCATAAATGATTCTGCTCTCTGTGCAATTGTTATTCCATTTTATTTTGGGAGCTGATCAAAAGACAAAAACAACAACACAAACTTTGCTATATTTCAAAGTTGATCTAAATTTCTAAAATCAGATATGCATAATTTCGAAAAGATCCTGATAAGAATGACTCATAATTAGTCGCAAATGGTTGCGAGTTTAATGAATTCAACTTGGCAACATGTGATCTGTGAACTTCAATACAAAATGCATAGCACATTTTTCAATTCTCCAGGTAAAGGAGACCTGCATTTGCAATGTTTTGTAATTATTTGTATACAGAAATAGAATTGTGGGATCCCTTACTTATTTTATACTTTATAGTCTAATGATTGTCCGTAATTGTTGGGAATTGTGATTGCTTGTTTAAATTTATATTGTCATCACAATTTGACACTTGCCAACATGTAGATTTTTCAATAGACCAATTTCTATCTTCTGAATATAGTCAAATTCGTGTTCTTCTTTGTCCATGTGTATTGGAACCAGTGAGAATTGGTCATTCTCTTGGTGGCTGGTTGGTGTTCTTGTGTACACCAGCTAGCCAGCAAGAGACACAGACAAAGAAAGGCACAAATTCACCTGAGACAGCACATCCATAATAGCACGAGCCAAACGCAGACATCATAGGGAATTCCTGGAAGCCTGGCATTCCAACCGGAACTCCATCAACAAACACATTGAACTGGACCCGTTTTCACAAACCGCTGAGAAACCGAACTGGAAGTCGTGTCAACCACCCCAGCAAACCGAGGCATGTAAATAACAAGTGGGGCAGAACGCCAACACTTCACTGGAGGCACATTGATGATGTTACCTAGCAGGGTGACAAATCCTTTGCAAACAAACACACCGGCTCAGTGAGCAAGTCTACAACCTCAACGCGCTTTCTTGCTGCCCTACCAATTGTTTCGTAAGTGGTTATGTAAGTCCTAACTACATACTGAAAAATTATCTACTTGCATGGTGACAACATGGTTGGACAGATATACATATGAACAGGAAGGTAAAGACAGTACCTCTTTATTTTTCTGCACTTTTGTGGACTGAAATGGGAAAAGGACTGTTTTGAAAACAAGAATTGTGGAAGAGATTACTGCACTTTTTGGAAGGAAGTTACCAAAACTCCTTGTTGGAACGCTACTTTGCCCAACCAGTGGGAGGGGCTCGTGCTATGGGATGTGTATGATGATATTCACCAGCTGCGGACGACAAAGGCCATCTGCCTGCCAACAAATGTGTTTGGCTGCTGGGTAGCTAAACAACTTGTGGGTGTGATTGATATTGCCAAAAGACTTCGGACCTCTTGGGAGGTGTTGGGGAGTCTCTGTGCAATAGAAAACAGCTGAAGCCTGAGGATGCCAATCATCTTCTCTCACAAGTTGCTGCAATCTGTTGCTTTTAACCAATACATCGGAGATTTTATGATTTTTGAACTAGTTACTGTGTCTCTCCTGCAAAGAAGTAAAAAGTACCTGAAGAAGAGAGATTGAAGAACAGCAACTCCTGACCAGGGAAGGATCATCTTATAAACCCTGTAGACAATGGCCATTGACCTGCCTTCCCAGTATACCCTCCATCCATAGCAGCAAAGTTTTTCTATCTGTCTGTGTGTGTATGTTTTACAAGGGAGTTAGAGTCTTAACTAGTAGAGTTATATGTTGACAGTTCACAATTTGTTTACCTGTCACTAGAATCTTATTTTTTGTAATAAATAGAAATAATTATTAAGTACAGAAACCTGATTCATGGTTTCTGTTACCTGGGACTAGAATGAAGACAGGTAAATTAGGACTTTTGAGACACGTCAGGAAATAGTGGTACTTGACTTCCAGCATGCTATCCCAATGAGACACAACAGGAGTTTTAAAATGGCATTGGTTAAGTACTGAAAGCCCAAATCTCCGTGACGACCTTTAACTCTTTTTCCTTGTCTTTCATGGGATGTAGGTACCACTGTAGCATTTGTTGTCCATCTTTAATTGCCTTTGACTAAGTGACTTGCTCAGCCATTTCAGAGGATAGCTAAGAATCAACCACTGTAGGTGTGGAGTGAGGTATGGGCCAGACCAAACAATGACAGCAGGTTTCCTCCCATGAAGGGGATTAAAGAACCAGTTAGGCTTTTGTGACAATCAGTGACACTTGTCATGGGGGTCACCGTGACTGAGGCTAGCTTTATATTTGAAGTTTATTAATTGAATTTAATTTCACCAGCTGCTATAGTGGAATTCAAACCTATATCTTTAGCTCCAACTTTGTTTATTCCAGATGATGATAGTCATCCTCCTGTTGTCCAAGGCAATAGCAACAGAAGAACAATCAGCACACTAAGACCATGTGCAAAAGATGCATATATGCTCTTCCAGGTAGAATCCTTTGTTGCAAAGAATTTTTCATTGTTAAATCAGTCACTAAATTTAGTCAGATTTGACCTTAAAAGGTCAGTTGCCTACCATTCTTTGACTTTTATGTCTTTTATTTGTATTTGTTTCTTTTCATTTTTTAAATTTTTATTTTTGCATTTAGCTTTCAAGTTTTGAAATTTGCTTTTAATTCATTTTTGATTTTGTTTTTCTTTTATATATTTGTTTACATCATTTTGGTATTTCAGGTCTTTCATTTTTGAACTTTAGCTTTTCTTTAATGTCAGCATGTAAATCGATAATGCCAGTGGTTTCATTGAAGAAAATGAGTTGAAGTTGATAGTTAGATCTGACATTGAAGGAGCTGAATCAACATCTGTAGAGGTAAAGTTGTTGTGCTTGAACAATATTTAATTTTCAGTGGTGTATGCTAAATCAGCACAGTATCTCTTTAATTCAGTTTCCTCAATTAGGTCACTGGCATTCTTTAAATCATGATATTCACATTGACCAAATGACACATGAGAGAAGATATTGTTAATTCCTCAATGATGAATCTCCCTGTATTGTAAGTATTGCTAATATAGTTTTATTCTGAGCTTCATAATTATTACAAAATCTCTCAGTTGACATCTATCTAATATAATTTTCCAGGATTTGTGCCAGTTGGTAAATGCAGATGCTCCTTACTGGTTGGTCGGAATGACGGAAATGACCCGAACATTTGGTTTGGAACTTCTGGAATCTGTTCTGAATGACTTTCCACGAGTGTTTTTACAAGTAAAGTGTTTGAAATAGACATTTTGAACTTGGTTGGGTTTACAGTAACTTTATTCAAAGAGCAAGATTTTCTGGGCATTGATTTTTGGTCTGATAATTGTGCCTGAGGTGATATCAGCTATCTCATCAAACCCAGAATCTGAAACGAGGTGGAATAACAACCTGCAGTGCATCGAACCACTAAACTTGTGAATTTCATTAATAGAAAGCTAAAATTTATTCTTATCATTTAAAACTTGCTGATTTAAGTTAATGGTTTACTCTCCATTAAGTTGCTAACTTCACCATTCTGTGACCTTTTAATCTATCATCCTTTACAGCCAGTAGAAAGGCAGAGAACCTACTGTGAAGTTTGTTTTCTTTTTCATTCTTGCCAGGTGGTAACTAGGAAGTGGTTCCTGTTAGGAGCTGGCTTCAGAGAAGATATGTGTCTAATGGAGGCAGATTAATTCCTTTTAATAAGAGCTTGAGTTATTTTATAGACGTGACTGAACACCTAAGCCATGAAGAAGAACTTAGTTTCAAGTAGTGTTGATGACCTTGTTTACCTTGAACTTGTGTTCATTTTCCAGCAATAATTAAAGTGACCACTGATTTTATTATCAATGTAATTCTTGCCTTTTGATGGGTTCTTCAACTGTTCATTTTAAAGGTACCTAGAAATTATTTGTCCAGGGCCTTGTTAGTCTCTAGTACTCAATGAAAACAGGTTTGCTTCTAAATGTACGACACTTTATTGGTGATGGTATATGCCTCCAGCAGACGTAAGCTGACCTTGTGTGGCACTGCAAGAAAAAACGGGTCTACAGCATGAGTAATTTACTTTAAGGATTCATTAATTGCATTTAATAAAGGACTGATCAGAATTGAGGCAGCAATATTCTTCGTAAAATCAGCTAAAATTACCTTTATTCGTTTTAAGAAAAAGGAACATGAATAAGCCATTCTGCCCTGAAACATAACATGCAAAAGAATGGTATCATGGGTTGCTTACATCCCAAATCCATTTACTCACCTTTGCTGCATTTGTTTTGATGCCATACCTGACAAAAATATATCAATCTCATTCTTAGAAAATTTGAAGGGACTCAGCAACCTTTTGGGTGGAGATTTCCAGGATTTTTTTTATTCTTTCATGGGATATGGGCATTGCTGGCAAGGCCTGCTTTTGGTGCACTTCACTAATTGTCCTTGAACCAAATGGTTTGTTAGGGCATTTCAGAGAGCAGTTAAATATCAAGCACATTTCTGTTGGTCTGGAGTTGTGTCGACCAGACCAAGTAAGGATGGCAGATTTCTTTCTATAGAGTAAATTAGTAAACCAAATAGCTCTTTATGACAATCAGTGATAGTTTCTTGGCACCTTTAGTGAGACGAGTTTTATTTTGCAGAATGTTTTGTCTTTATTAATTGTATTTAAGTTACACCAGCTACGATGGTGTGATCTGGTCCCATATCATTAGCCTGGACCTCTGGATTACTAGTCCAGTGACATTACTACAATGCCAACATCTCCCCTCACTTCACTAGAGAGAAAAAAAATCCTGCTTGATCTACTAACTAGCCTAGCTCATGTTTGATGATTGTGTTCCTCTAGAGTTCTGCCATGGAATATCAGTTTACATACTGTTTAAATTTGTCTGTATCTTCGTAGTCTAGTATGGGACAAATTGAGTGAGATGTTTTGTTGTTAATATTGTGCTCAGGCACAGAGTTTAAATTAGATCCAGTACATCATGTGGCTTCTGAACTAGTTCAAAAGATTTGATCAAAAAGTCCATGATCAACCTTGTAAGTTCTGGTGTTTCCCATTATTTTTAATCTGTTTTCATGCATAAAGAAGGTGTAAATTAATATATTAGTTCCACTTTTGTTTGTGCTTTTGTTTCTAAATATCTGATCTTGTACTCTTTCCGAACTTTCATATCACTGTCTCATCGCAATCTTTGCTTTAGCTGTTTTCTGTCTGTGTTTTATATGTTTTGTTTTCTGTTTCTGTATCGCCTTATTGCTGTTGTTTATTACTTTTTCACTTCTCCCACTTGATTTCATTATGTCCTCAGTCCTTTGATTAAACAGTGATGCAAGCAATGCTAATACGTTTTTTTTATTTTTCTCAAGGGAATTGTCCTGAAGTTACACCTTAGAAGATAATAATGTGTGTCCCCTTAGAACATTTCCCCCTCTTCTATTTCAGAAGTTTCAAACAACTAAGCTAAACACTTTTTATAAATTGCTTTTAACACTCTCATGGAAGCCCAAATACTGAGTAGCTAATCAATTACTTTTCAATTGTGTTCATTGGTGTTACAAATACAAGTATGGGATGCAGTTTATGCATAGCAAGGTGCCACATGCAGAATGAGATAACAAGCCAATTTGTTGTGGTATGTTAAAGGGAAGAGCCCTGGGAGCAACCCCTAATCTTTACATAGTATTGAGTTCCAGGCAGCCAGTTAATGAAGCGTACGACTGGAGCCATTCTTTTATCTATTTTCATACATTTACCGAGTAACATATAGCAAACATATCCCCTCCAACTCTCCAACTACAGTTTTAGTCATAACTTTATAGAGGGCGCAAGATATTTTCTAGTCGCCTTGATCAGAGATGTCCTGGGTAGGTGGAATTTGAATACTGCTTGAACACTAGGGGCACTACCAATGTGCCACAAGAACCCTAACAGAGTTTCCCACCACGTTCAAACAATTAAAAACACTTAAAATGCAATTAATATGCAGTCCCATGATTTTTTTTAAAACACACCCACTTGAATAGACAAATGGGACCTCAGTTTAACATCACAAGTATTCTCGTTATGAATATGCACTCCGTATTGCTCTGAAATATGTAATGGCCTGGAGTTTGTGGACAGTGACAAAGCAGGGGTACTCATCATCAATGACATTCTGTCCTTAACGCAAGCTGGAATTATGTCATCACTGTCCAAATGGCCAATCACATTAAAGGATTTACACAGACAGACCGAGAGGAAACACAGCAATAATACAAATTCACTTTTTAAAACCTTCCTGCGACAAACAAAAATTATTAGGAAATGCACATCGAGTGAGGTTAGATGTTGACGTATTTTTATAACTATCTAAAATTATATATTTAAATTATAACATCTAATTAATCATTTAATAGCATTTTTTGAGAGTAAAATTATTATTTTCAGGACAAGTTTTATGGAGTTTCCAGCAGCGACTAAAGAATGGGAAATCTACAGTTCTTGCTAATTTCTGTGATTACCAGTGAGGGATAAGGTGATGGCAGTGTCCACAGCGCAGCCTATTTCAGAGCCCTGAGATTTAGGGCTTTCTGAGCTAATCTATGCATATGGTCATATTTGAAGATAAAGTCTGCTGAATGCTGACATCTTGCCAATAGCCCCTATACCCACCCCCTTCTCATCCACACCATAAAATGGCTAATTTTACACAGCATAATTACAAGGCTTTGCAGTGTAGTTTGTAGACTTCATTAAGACTCTCATTGGCCATTTCCATAACAGTCTTGATTTTTTTTTCAGGGATCCCATAGATCAGGTGACTGGGTGATTGCCTGTGTCTCGGGCAGGAATTCTATTATCAGAGACTATTTTGCATAGAGCATTTTATATAAAAATTTTAAATCTTATTGTGATAGAAAGAAAAGATATTCCCAGATTATTTATTATTCTTATTGTCTTGTGTTCAATATAATATGCACACCTTATATAAAAGTCTGTTACCCCAAAGTACTTTGAGTTATTTTTGAAGGGCAATGCCAGTTACTTTGTAGACAAACTGATAATAGGACTTCCCTTACAAGTGGTAATTATGCGTTAACAAAATCTTAGTGGTGATGGGATTTAGTACTGAAAATGCCAGTTTGACTTAATTAACATTTGTTTTGTGTTTTTGTTCCCTCCTTTTCCCTACAGCACCAAGAGTTCAGTTTCCTTCTGAAGGAAAGGGTGTGCCCTTTGGTGATCAAGCTGTTTTCTCCCAATATCAAATTCAGACAGGGTACTAATACTCCATCTTCCCCAACTCCTGTCGAGAAACCATACTTTCCCATCTGTATGCGCCTTCTGCGAGTGGTATCTGTTTTAATTAAACACTTCTATAGCCTTTTGGTAAGGGATCTAGTTTTTTTTCTTGCATATTTAACTATTGAATTAAAAGTATTTATTCAAGAAAGTTGTGCAAATATATACTCATAACATTCTCTCAGCTTTTGAAATACAGCATCTGTATTTGCTTTGGCTGTCACTGTGGCTATCATATGGCAAAGGTTGTCTTTCAGATACATTTTGTAAGTTCCACTGCAGTAATGCAAGAATAAAACTGTAAATAGACCTATTTGTGTTAATGAATGTGTGACCAATTGACTTTTGTGTTCTATGATTATTTGACCATATGTCAATTATTGAAAGTTGAAATTGTTTGGTTTCCTCTCAAAATTCAGTGTTTTTAACAGTTTCAACATTACATTCCAAAATACTATCCAGATTTTAAAAGTTAGTGGACTATTATGTGAACTTGGGTTCAGAGGATTTTAATGATTCTGCACATAACAGCTTCCAGCAAACCAAGCAATACCATTGCAGGAGCCAGCCATGTGGAAAGGGGGAAGTTGTTTGTAAGAGAAGCATGCTGCCAGGGACTTTTTAATGGGGATAATTAAGGTTTAATGTGTACAGAAAATAAAATATTTAAAATCATTTTATATTATTAAATGTTTCAATTGTGTATGCCACCATTAAATTTAAATAATATGAAGCTTTCATTATGTAGCTTGTTGTACAAGGTAAACAAGCAGATTGCAGTTGGCTCATTCTTCCTCCCATCCTTAATAATGAACTCTTAAATTCTCCACAATTGATGTCAAGCTAACTGGCCAATAACTTCCAGTCTTCTGTCTTCCTCCCTTAAACAGTAGTGTTACATTAGCCATTTTCCAGTCCTCTGGGACCCTGCCTGACTCCAGTGATTCTTGGCAGATCACCACCAATGCCTGCGCTATCTCCTCCACTATCTCCCTCGGAACTCTAGGGTGTAGTCCATTTTGCAGTGCTCCAGTATCCACTGTTGCCTCTCTCTTGCCTTTTAGAGTCATAGAGGAAACAGGCCTTCAGGCCAACTCATCCATGCTGACCGGGTTTCCTAAACTGAGCTAGTCCTATTTGCCTGCATGTCACCCATATCCCTCTAGACCTTTCCAATCCATGTAGCTGTCCAAATTCTTCTAAATGTTGTAATTGTACTCTCCTCCACCACTTCCTTTGATAGTTCTTTCCATACATGCACCACCCTCTGTGTGAAAAAGTTGCCTCTCAGGTCACTTTCAAATCTTACCCCTCTCACCTTAAACCTATGCCCTCTAGTTTTAGACTCACTTACCATGGGGAAAAGACCTTGGCTATTCACCTTATCTATGCTTCTCATGATTTTATAAATTTTTATAAGGTCACCCCTCAGTCTGCTACGCTGCAGGAGAAGAACATCCCAGACTATATATCCTTTCTCTATAACTCAAACCTTCCAGCCTCGGTAATATCCTTAAATCTTTTTTGCACCCTTTCCAGTTTAATGACATCCTGCCTGTAGCAGGGCAACCAGAATTGTACACAGTACTCCAGATATGGCCTAACCAATGTCTTATACAGCCATAACATGATGTGCTAACTCCTGTACTCAATGCTCTGACTGATAAAGGTAATCGTGCCAGATGCCGCCTTAATCACCCTATCTACCCATGACACCATTTTCAAGAAACTATGTACCTGCATCCCTATATCTCTCTGTTTGACATCACTCCCCAGGGTCCTATCATTAACTATGTATGTTCTGCCCTGGTTTGTCTTAGCATAATGTGACACCTCGCATTTATCTGCATTAAGCTCCATCTGCCATTCCTCAACCCACTGGCCCATGTGATCAAGATCCTGTTGTATTCTTAGATAACCTCTTCACTATCCACTATATCATCAATTTTGGTGTCATCTGCAAACTTACTAACCATGCCTCCTATATTCTCACCCAAATCGTTTATATGAATGATGAGCAACAGTGGACCTAGCACTGATCCTTGTGGCACACCGCTGGTCACAAGCTTCCAATTTTAACAACAATCCTCTACCACCACCCTCTATCTCCTACCTTTCAGTCAGTTTTGTATCCAGTTGGCTCTCTCTCCCTTATTTACTAGTCTATCATATGGAACCTTGTCAAAGGCCTTGCTAAAATTGAAGTAGACAATGTCTACCACTCTGCCTTCATCAATCTTCTTAGTCACCTCTTCAAAATGCTCAATCATGTTTGTCAGACACTATTTCCCACGCATAAAATCATGCTGGCTATCCCTAATCAGTCCTTCCTTTTCTGAATGCATGTACATTCTGTCTCTCAGAATCCCCTTCTAACAACTTACCCAGCACTAACGTCAGGACCACTGATCCGTAGTTCCCTGGTTTCTCCTTGCAGCCTTTCTTAAATAATGATACAGCATTAGCCATCCTCCAGTTTCTGTCACTTCACCCGCAGATGTCGAAGTTACAAATATCTCTGCTAGGGGCCATGCAATTTCTTCCCTAGCTTACCACAATGCTCTAGGATGCACTTGATCAGGTCTTATGGATTTATCTACCTTTATGCATTTTAAGACCTCCAGATCCACCTCTTCTGTAATCTAGACTCATTTCAAGACATCATGTTTTGTTTCCCCAAGTTCCCTAGCTTCCATGTCTTTCTCCATTGTAAATACTGGCGCACAATATTCGTTTAGGATCCCATCCTTCTTCTATGGTTCCACACACAGATGGCCACGTTGTTCTTTAAGGGGCCCTATTCTCTCCCTAGTTACTCATTTGCCCTTAATACACTTGTAGAATCTCTTTGGATTCTCCTTAACCTTATCTGCCAAAGCTAATTCATGTCCCCTTTTTGTCCTCCTGATTTCCCTCTTATGTGTATTCTTACACCCCTATACTCTTCAAGGGATTCACTCGATCCCAGCTGTCTGGCTTGACATAGATCAAAGTCTGAATTTCTCTAGTCATCCAGGGTTCCCTACTCCTGCCAGCCTTGCCCTTCAGACTAACCGGAACATGCTTTCCCTGAGCTCTTGTTATCTTGCCTTTGAAAGCCTCCCACTTGCCAGACTTCCCTTTATCTGTCTCCCCCAGTCAACTTTTGGAAGCTCCTATCTAATACTGTCAAAATTGGCCTTGCCCCAGTTTAGAACTTTAACTCGTGACCAGGCCTGTCCTTTATGCATAGCTATTTTAAAACTCATAGAATTATGGTCACTGGTCCCAAAGTGCTCCCCCTCTAACACCTCAGTTACTTGCCCTGCCTTATTTCCCAAAAGGACATTGGGTTTTATATATCTAGAAGATCTCTTGCAGTCTTCTTTTATACTGCTAGCTAGCTTATCCTCCTATTTCATCTTCTCCCCTCTTAATGCTTTTTAGTTGTCCTTTTTTGGTTCTTAAAGGCTTCCAAATCCTCTGGCTTTCCACTAATTTTGACCACATTGTATACTTTTTTCTTGCTTTTCTATGCTAGACTCTCCTTCCAATCAACTCTGGTGTCTGTTTTAATTGAGCACTTCTATAGATTTTTGAGAAGGAACCTGACTTTAATGAAAAATCCTACCTCCCCCTCCTTTTATCTTTTCTGGTGTTGATGTTAACTTGTTGCTTTCAAGTTACTGACTTGCCAAGCTGTTGAAAATAGTTTCTACTTATAAATATGAATCAACAAGAAGATGGGTAGAGGATCTATCCAACTAATGGAGTTTTGGCTGACATGAATATCATTGAACACCAAACGATTATCTGAAAGGTTTTCGACCTATTGTGTGACTAATTGTACAATAACAATGTGTCAGTCCAGGCTTTGTAGTCTTCAGTATTGCATTACTTCTTTATACCTCATTTTTATATAAGGACTTTCGTTAACCAATGAAGACAATAGTTAACAAAAACAGATGCACTCCTGCAAAAATGTTATCCCTTCAATTTGACCTTAATGGAGAATTCATATCCAGAAGGGAAACACCGTCATTGACAGCTAACAACTTGAACTGTCAATACTCCCATCATCGTAAAGTTCCCAAATCTCTCTCAACTGCATTCTGATTCATACCCGACAAACCTTTGTTGTTTTTGCCTTTCTCATCCACCCAAACGTATGTGATCATTTAAAGAAGGAATTTTTTTTTTAACGTGTAGTGAAGAAGATGTGGTTTATCAAAACTAATTGCATAACATTATTTTGTTTTCTTGGCTGCTGAGTTCTGTGTTTCTAATGCCACACTTTGATGTTTGCCAGGTAACTGAATGTGAGATATTTTTGTCTTTACTGGTGAAGTTTTTGGATGGTGATAAACCACAGTGGCTTCGAGCAGTTGCTGTGGAATGCATTCACAGGCTGTGTGTGCAACCTCAGCTGCTACGGTAATAATCTCTTAACAGTTTCTAAGTGCTAATTTGTTATTGCATACTGAGGGTGCTTGGAAAGAATGCTACTACAAGTGGCTTAAACTTTCATTGTTTTTGACTGTGCTTAACTGAGGTTTGTGGTCCATTTAAGTTCATTCTTTCTATGTTTTCTCTTCATTCATGAGATGTAGGCTTCACTGGCTAGGTCAGCATTTATGGCTGATTCTTAATTGCTCAGAGCGCAGTTAAGAGTCAGCCAAATTGCTGTAGGTCTGAAGTTGTGTAGGTCAGACTAGGTTTGGGCAGCACATTTCCTTCCCTAAAGGACATTAATGAATCAGATGGGCTTTTACAACAATTGACAATGGTCACACGGTCACCATTAGGCTAACACTTTACTCCATTTTTTAATTATTAAATTCAAATTCCACTTTCTGCTGCAGTGGGATTTGAACCCATGTTCCCTGATATATGAAGGGCAAAAGAGAGGCGAAAATGGACATTGGGCAGCTGGAAAATGACACTGGAGAATTAGGAATGGGGAACAAAGAAATGGCTGAGGAACTGAATAAGTACTTTGCATCAGTCTTTATGGTGGAAGACACAAGTAATTTCCCAAAAATTCAAGAGTGTCAGGATGCAGAGGTGAGTATGGTGGTCATCACCACGGAGAAAGTGCTAGAAACACTGAAAGGACTGAAGGTGAATAAATCACCCAGACCAGATGGACTGCAACCAAGCGTTCTAAAGGAGATAGCTGAAGAGATAGTGGCGGTGTTAGTGTTAATCTTTCAGGAATCACTAGAGTCAGGGAGGGTCCCAGAGGACTGGAAAATCATTCATGTAACCCCCCATTTTAAGAAGGGAGTTAGGCAAAAGACGGGAAATTACAGGCTGATTAGCTTGACTTCCGTCATTGGTATGATTTTGGAGTCCATTGTGAAGGATGAGATTTCTGAATACTTGGAAGTACTTGGTAAAATAGCATGGTTTCATCAAGGGGAGGTTATGCCTGACAAATCTGTCAGAATTCTTTGAGGAGATAATGAGCAGGTTAGACCAAGGCGAGCCAATGGATGTTATCTACCTGAACTTTCAGAAGGCCTTTGACAGGGTGCTGCACAGGCGGCTGCTGAGTAAGATAAGGGCCCATGGCGTTAGAGGTGAGGTACTAGCATGGGTTGAAGATTGGCTGTCTGGCAGAAAGCTGAGAGTGGGGATAACGGGGTCTTTCTCAGGATGGCAGCTGGTGACTAGTGATGTTCCACAAAGGTCAGTGTTGGGACCACAACTTTTCACTTTATGCATTAATGATCTAGATGAAGGAACTGAGGGCATTCTGGCTTTGCAGACTATACAAAGGTAGGTAGAGGGACAGGTAATGTTGAAGCGGGGAGGCTGCAGAAGGATTTGGACAGGTTAGGAGAGTGGGCAAAGAAGTGGTAGTTGGAATACAACATGGGAAAGTGTGAAGTCATGCAGTTTTGTACGTAGAGTAGAGGCATAGACATTTTTCCTAAATAGGGAGAAAATTCAGAAATCTTGAAGTGCCAAGGGACTTGGGAGTCCTAGTCCAGGATTGTCTTAAGGTAAACTTGCAGGTTGAGTCAGTAGTCAGGAAGGCAAATACAATGTTGGCATTTATTTTGAGAGGACTAGAATGTAAAAGCAGGGATGTACTTCTCTGAGGCTTTATAAAGTTCTGGTCAGATCACATTTAGAGTATTATGATCAATTTTGGGCCCCATACCTCAGGAAGGATGTACTGGCCCTGGAGCACGTCCAGAGGAGGTTCACGACAATGATCCCAGGAATGAAAGGCTTAACGTTTAAGGAATGTTTGAGGACTATGGGTCTGTGGAGTTTAGAAGGATATGGGGGGATTTAATTGAAACTTACAGAATACTGAATGGCCTGGACAGAGTGGACGTTGGGAAGATGTTTCTATTGGCAAAAGAGACTAGGACCCAAGGGCACGGCCTTAAAGTAAAGGGAAGACCCATTAGAACAGAGATAAGGAGGAATTTCTTCAGCCAGAGAATAGTAAATCTATGCAATTCATTGCCCCAGAAGGCTGTGGAGGACAGGTCATTGAGTATGTTTAAGACAGACAAAGGTTCTTGATTGTCAAGGGGATCAAGGGTTATGGGGAGAAACCGGGAGAATAGGGTTGAGAAATTTAGCAGCCAGGATTGAATGGCAGAGCAGACTCAATGGGGCTGAATGGTCTAATTCCTGCACCTATGTCTTATGGTCTAACATTGACCTGGGTTCTGAATTGCTAGTCCATTGACATTACTGCTATACCACCATGTTTCCCAAAAGACTTGTAGGTTTTTTGAGACATTTTAATCATCAAACATCTTTGTTAAAATCCGTTTGTTTTGTCTTTCTCTATATATAAAAAGAACAAATGAACAATTTAAAAACTTCTGTTCTAATTGTAATAAATTGAAGTTGTTGAGTATTAATCTATCTTAGAATTGATTTGCGTTAGTTTTCTAAACACTTTGAAATGAGTATGAAGGGAAGGAATAATTCTGTTGGTCAAACAGTGGTGCATTTGATCTTGGAATAGAGATTTATGGTGTCACAAGAGGCAAAGTGAAAACAAAAAGGTGTAAATTAAATAGCAAGGAATAAAATAGTGGCACTAAAGTTGGTTTGGTGTCGAAAGGTTATAACATACTGTATGTTTATGCATTTGCACTTGTCTTTGATTGAAATTTCTAATTGTCTCGGATTCGATTGTTGAATTATTGCTGCAGATATGCAGTAGCATTCTAACTTCTTTAAACTGCAACAGAACTCCAAAACAGAAAGTTTACTTACATCCTACCAAATTTGAGAATTGTTTGATTCCACCAACAGGTCTTTCTGTCAGTCGTATGATATGAAGCCTCACTCAACAAAGGTCTTCAGAGACATTGTGAACGCACTGGGATCTTTTATACAATCTCTTTTTATTACTCCCAGCACTGGAAGCAATCCAATTTCAAATATGCAGACTGGTAGGATATACCTTTTGTTGTGTTCGACTAACTGGTTTGTTTAAAACAGCTGTTAATATATTTACATCACAGAAACAGGCCATTCAGGCCAACAGGTCTGTGATGAAATAGAGATGATGTGGAGGTGCCGGTGGTGGACTGGGATGGACAAGATCAGAAATCACACGACACCCCAGGTTATAGTCCAACAGGTTTATTTGAAAACACAAGTTTTCGGAGTCTTACTCCTCCTTCAGGTGTGAGTGTGAGATGCAGTATCAGACGCAGAATTTATAAGTAAAAGATCAAAGGGTCACACCACTGTCTCAGATAGAACACTACCACTACACCACAGGAGGCTGCTTCTTCTAAAACTATCTCAATTTCATTAAATAGGATATAGGTTGATTAGCCGTTATCTTGTTGATCTTGCTGGAGCAGGCTCAAAGGACTAATTGGTGAACTCCAGCTTCTAAGTCTTTTGTTAGTATGTTCCTATATAGAGCTCAGAAGCAGACTATTTGGTCCCTGCCAGCACGTATGCTCTAAGTGGTCCCCCTTCCACCTTTCCTGTTCAGTATCTTCTATTCCTTTTTTTCCCTTGTACATTTGTATGGTTTCCCCTTAAATCCATTTTATGCTATTCCCTTCAACTATCCCGTGTGGTAGCATTATGGCCAACTGGCACGTCATGAATTGACCCCTGCTATTACCACAGCTGTATCAAATGTTAACGTCTGTGCAGACCCTAATTTGCCTGACTTTCAGTCTAAGGATGATAGAAAGCACAGATCAGACTTTCACTCTAAGCAAGTTATTATTTATTTTAAGTACAGCTACAAGTAAACAGGTATAAATCATTGGCATATAATACTATTAACTAAAACTCTAATCTCCTTGTAAATCTCCCCCTCTAAAAACACCACACAGGCAAACAAACAGGAAAAGTAGATTTTTGGTGGAGGTACTGGGAAGTGGTCTTTGCTTCCTCGTTCCGATGTTAAAATAATCCTACTTCAGCTGGCCAGGCATGGTGTTCAGTTATCTTTCTCTGCATGCTTCCATTGGTCTGTGAATAGTACACACTGACTTGGAAAACGTCTCTGATTTATCAACTCAAAAGTTCAAGCTCAAAGCAACTGCTGCAGAAACAATAAATGGCTTTCTTCAAATTTAAACTGAGTCTTTTTTTTACTGCAGAGAACAGGCACTTGCTGGGTGTTTAATGTTTGATTGACCTTAGCCCTATTTTCTGTCAATAAATCTTTGCTATTATTGTCTTCCGACTGAATATAGCATAACATAACAACAAATAAGGGGAGGAGTAGACTATTTTACCGTTAAAGTTAGTCCACCATTCATTAAGGTCATGGATGATCTGATCGTGGCTTGGCTTGACTTCACTTTTCCTGCATTTTCCCCATGATCTCTGACTACATTGTCAATCAAAAATTGAACTGTACTTTGAATGATCCAATCTCCACCCCTCACTAGGTCAGAAATTTCAAACGCTAGTGACACTTACAGATGGAATTCCTTTTCCCCTTAAAATAGGAGACCTTTTTCTGAAACTATGCCTCCTCCCACAAGCTCAAACTGCTCCCCAAGAGCAAACATCCTCTGAGCATCTACCATCTTCAAAATCTTGTGTATCCTCTATCGATGATGTATCTATGTTAATAGAATCTTTTAAGGTTCTGATATATCCTTAGACTGTGGTTAATTAAAATGAGTTCTTGCCCTTTATTGTAGAGACCCTGTATTGAACTTTTGATCTGGAATTTTCCAATCCATAATATTTCATGGACATAATTTATTATAAAGGCTGTAATGTGCACCAAGTATTTCTCTGACCACCATCTTGGGAGTAGCGATATTTAATACAAGATTTATTGTGTGGTACTTAATTTTAGAGTCTCTGGAGATCTTGGATCAAACATTTTGACAGCAGGAATTTAACAAGAGGTTTTTGAGGCTGGAGTCTTTGTCAGGGAATTTTAAGGGCACATTACATGGCGATCGACTATTAAAAGACCAGTTGATATTTAGAATTGTTGCCATGTCCAATTTTTAAAAGAAAGACAGAACTGGTTTGTTATGGGTTTTAATATGATTAAGACTTACATTTGGACAGTTATTCACCTAGTATAGGTACGAGTACTGAATTCCATTTCGATTTAACTACCTTGTCTTTTTGAAAAAATGTCTATTGTGCCAATACTTTTAGTAATGGCCATGGTGCCTGAAATAAATGTAATAAATGAAAACCTGATTTGGATTTTTTTTTGTATTGGAACAAATATTAATCACAAATTTAACGGCAGTCTTGTACCACTTTGTGCTGGGTTAATGAATCAGAGCATTCAGCTAGTTGCTATAACTTTGTAGAAGTTCGTTTGTGGGAATCCATCCAGCACAGTCACAATGTGTTCCTTATCCAGTCATTCTGTCATCCAAACATCATGGAATGAAAGGGAAAGAAATGAGAAAATGTTTGTTTTAAATGAATGACCCTATTCTCACAGTCCCATTAACTATACTGTGGTACAGTTTTCAAATATCAAAACTGTCTACAGGGAGCATCCTAAATATTTCCATTTTGAAGGCTGTTAATAAATAGTCCTCACAAATGTGTGCCAACCAAGCATTCATGCAAAGCTTCACGATTTCTGAAACTTCCAGAAAAGCCCAAACATTGCGTATTATGTTGCAGAAATTTCTGACTAGTAACAGCTTATAGTTCATTTGCAGTGATCGCCTACATGTGAAATAAAAACAAAATGAGGTAAATACTCAACAGATCTGACATCATTTGTGGAGAAAGAAAAGCAAATTAATAGCTTGAGTTGCATATAACTACCCTTCAGAATGTTCAATACGCCAAATATAATTGGATGACCATAATTAAGAAGGCAATGATCTTTTTGATATTTTATCACTGGGGACTCTGTAAGCAAAATTCCTGTCCAGATTTGTGTAGACGGAAAGATTAACAGCACTACTAAGTGCTCAAGTAACTTCCTTCAGGATAGAAAACGAATTTAGATGGTAAATATTACTCATCTGCGATAACATTTTTATACTCCAAACAGTTACATTGCAATACGTGGTATACAGGTGTCCAATGATCTGACTAGTTTGAAAGGTATTTAAAACTTTACATTTTTAGTGAGCATTTTCTGGTATGCAGAAGCATTCAACGTGTATATCAATAATCAATGAGTAAAGTTAGGAGTTGACTTGGTAATCCATTTGATCCAGATAAATATGGTGTGATCTGAACAGTAGTGTGGTTTAAATACAAGGGTCAGGTACAGTTTAAAGGAGGCACCTCCATATGGATTATTAATAGTGTCTTCAAGTATCTTCTCCAGATTTTGTTGCTCTTTAACACTTTAAAATTGTACTTTTCTTTCCTTCATTGCTTGTTCAGAAAAACTGTTTAAAAAACAGCAAAATCTTTCCATAGACAACTATAATCAATTACTTTTGAAACAAACAAAAGATACCAAAGTCTGTCCTTTGCATCCATTTCCCCAAATTCTCCAACACTGGTGAATCAGCACAAGTGCTATGGGGTTTGACTGTCACCATTTTATCTTTTAATTGACTTGCAGTTATCAATTGATGTACATCAATCGGCATCACAGTTAAAACTCATTAACACCAATATCATTATTCCAGTTGGATTGGTTGGATTTTCAGAAACAAAATCAGAAATTGGTGGAAAAGCTGAGTAGGTGTAGCAGTATCTGTGGATAGAAATCGGAGTTAACGTTTCCAGTTCTGAGGGTGGGTCACTGGACCCAAAATGTTAACTGTAATTTCTGTCCACAGATGCTGCCAGACCTGCTGAGCTTTTCGAGCAATTTATGTTTTGTTTCTGATTTACAGCATCTGCAGTTCTTTCAGTTTCTATTTGGTTAGGTTTTCAGTTTGATACATGTATCTCTCACTGCCTAATTTGACACTTCATTGCCTTGAATTGGGAGTCAAATTGGATGGAATCTAAAATGAATATCTGACCCAAGCCCCCACATCTTAGATTAAAATCAATAAATATTTAGTAGGTATTCTTAACTTGTAGATTTTGTTTATGCTTTAAATACAATAATTTCATCTACACATGAAAGGAGCAATTTCTATGAATAAAATTGGTTCTTGAATCTTAATGATTAAACCTATTTAATAGTTTCAGTCAGTAATATTGTTAAAAGCTTGGATTCAGTGATGGTGCAAACAAATACCTGAGATAGTATGCTGAGAATATTTATATCTGGCAGTCCACCTCTGAGTTGGTTAGTTCTTGTTCTGCCTGTTTAATGTATTAAAGCTCTTGACTCTTTCTGTTCTTGCAGGCACAAGTGGAGGCGGCGGTCCTGCCACAGCACAGAATGGATCAGGAACGAGTGCTAATGTGGGACTCACCCCACAACCAGCTTTTGAATATAGAGGCACATGGATTCCAATTCTAAATACCTCTGTGCAAGGCACTTCTAAAGCAGCCTAGTGAGTATAAATTCAATTCAATGGCATCGAAAGACAATGATGTGCAAGCATTTCACTTGCAGGACGTAATAATAATATATTGGAATACTGATTCCAGAAGGATAATGTCAAAGGTCTCAAAGAAACTTGTTCGTTGTTTCACCTAGTTGCGGAATGCTGCATTCCATTAAAAAAGTCTCAAGATAATGAGAAAGTAATGACATGCCCAGACAAAAACTTCAGAGCTTATTTAAATGGTTAGATCTAAAATAAGATTTTCAGTCATACTATAATTTAAATGATATTTGAAGGATTTTGCTATATTGATTACTTAATCAAATCCAAGTATAATTCAGTTCCTCAAAAAATCAGTTGCCGTTAAGGTGTTTTTTAAAGTGTTCTGGGATTACTTAGCATGGACAAATTATTTAGGCAGTCCAGGGCTAAGAACCAAACCCACACCTTTAAGAGGCCATATACTATAAATTGAGATAACCAGGTGTAGAGCTGGATGAACACAGCAGGCCTTGTTTGGCCTGCTGTGTTCATCCAGCTCTACACCTTATTATCTCAGATTCTCCAGCATCTGCAGTTCCTACTATCTCTAATACTATAAATTGAGTGTTCTTTTAAAATGTACAGAACCTAGTTGGTTATCATTCTGTGCCCATTGACATTTTGTCAGCTTTTGATGGCACATTATAGACATCATAGATGGTACATTGTAATGCAAGAATAGTCAATCTATGTAGAAACCCGTTTCCACAGTGTACGTTAAATGAAGGTCAGATTAAGCTCAGCTGCAAATAGTCACTGTCTAGACTGGCATGGAGTGTGGTCATATGGGTGAACTACTAGACAGCTGTTTGGATTTATTGAATTATACCCCACCAGGGGTCAACTTGAGAACAAGATGAAAATTAGTGCACAGAAACCTAAACCTGTCTTTTTGCCAGTTTGCATCAATTTTTGAAATGTTTTCAGTCTCTGAGTTTAGAAATCTAGTTGAAAGCCTTGACTATCGTTTTCAACTGAATATCTTTAATGAAATTATCACAATTAATGGAATTATTGGCTTTACTTTAAATGTCTGTTTCCAAATCTAGGAAAGTTGTTCACATTGCGAATATAAGAATTAGTTTTAAGTCAATTCAGAATGGATTTGTACTATATTTTGCCAATTTACATATGTTGTAATTCTCATCTGTTGGTAAAAATGTATATGGTTTGTAAAATACTTAGCTGTTAATTTGAGCTGCTCTTTAGCCTAGAATTGCTGGACAAAGTGGAGCCTCCTACTATCCCTGATGGATATGCCATGTCTGTAGCATTTGGTTGCCTTCTGGATCTGGTTCGTGGCATTACTGCCATGATTGAGGCAGAGTTTGACAGTGAAGGAATTACTTCCCAGCCTGGCGTCACAAAGCAAGCAGCGGATGTGCAGTCTTCAGAGCAACTGGAGAAGCTGTCAGCAAATGAAAAGGCGGCTGGTAATTCACTTGGCTTTACATGTTAGATCTCTACTCTTAATAGTATCAGTTGTAATTGTATTTTGACAGACTATCTCACAGCCACATTTCACAATGAAAAATAAGCAGGATTTTCCTTGGCTGTTTGTTAATACGCAGATGCAATGGCAATATCTATTTATATATCTATCTTGCAGATACATCAAGATTTTCATTGGCAACTTATAGTTCTATGTCATTAATAAAGGTGTTTAAACCGTGAATATTTTTCATGGAGTAAACCAGGAAGTCTGTTCTTAGTGGCGGAAGAGTCAGTACGTAGAGGTCACAGGTTTAAGATGATTCATAAAAGAACCAGAAATGACATGAGAGCTTTTTTATTCACACAGTTACAATATGGATATTATTGCCATAAAGTTTAAGACACTCATCATTAAAAGAAACCTAGCAAAAATTGTAATCAGATTGGCATCAAGAGTTTGTCATCAAATATTTCTCATATCTTCCTTCCTTCTGGTGACAGATAAGGCTGCTATCAGATGCTTTGAGCTATCTTGGTCTAGCACAACTACTTGTTCTTGCGGGTTCACTAGCCCAATTTATTTTGAAATGGAAGTGAAGAAATTAATGTAAACGAGTTGACATTTTTTTAAAATAGGGTAGATTGATAGTGGAATGAAAAGCCAGTAAAATTTTAGCTACTGATTATTGTCAAATGAAACAGCACGATGTGTGTAGATTGTAGAATGGTTACATTGCAGAAGAAGGCTGTTCAACCTGTCATGTCCAAGTTAGCTCTCTGCAAAAGCAACTCAGCTAGTCCCAATTCTGCACTTTTCTCCCCATAACTTTTCAATGAATTTTCTCTTAAAGTGCTTGTCCAGTTCCCTTCAGAATGTCACGATTATATCTGCCTCCACTGCACTCTTAGGTAGTGCATTCTAGATCTGAGCCATTTACTGCGTAATTAAAAAGCCTTTACTCATGTTGCTTGTGGTTCTTTTGGTGTCTTGTCAATGAGAATAGTTTCTCCTTATCTACGCTGTTCAGATGCCTTGCAGTGTTGAATGTCTCTATCAACTGTCCTTTCAACTATCTCTTTAAGGGGACCAGCCCCAACTTTCCGACTGCATTTCATAACTGAACTATAAATGTTAAGTCAAGTCAGGATCCAGTTTTGCTCCCCATTTGCTCATCAAACAATCAGGCACATGGTTGAGATTCACACATGAAGAATGACTGTTTCGATAATTGCCACAAACATTAGTGTGAGAAGAAATATAAGCTGACAAGAAATCCAGTCCATTTAGAAACAAGAAAAGTTGAGATCAGTAAAACAATATTTGGGGCTTTTGATATATTTAATGAATATGCAGCAGTCTTTTCTCCAATATTACCACCCCCAGGTTGTTCTGCTTCTTGAATCTTCGGCAAAAAACGTTCTCCATCTCTTTTGTCCTAAGACCAGCCACATTCAGCATATTTTACTGTAACGTTATTGTAACAGTGGCACGAGTTTTTAGCAACTTCATTTTGTGTTGCACATTTCATTTGTAGTTTTTAAATTTGCATATTTTTGAGGAATTGTGGAAAATTCAACTCCTGAAAGTATAACCCCATACAGATACATGCTTCTCTACATTCCTTTCCAGTTTCTAGAGCTGTGTGGGAGGAGATGGTCGGTGCTTGCTGGTGTGGTCTTCTTGCAGCTTTGTCACTGTTGCTGGATGCCAGGTAAATACAGATGGCTTTTTATATTCTTACATAGCTATGTTTTCCCAGCTGATAGACTGAGCTGAAACTAACTTAAGGATTCATGCCAGTGCAAACCCTGTTTGCAGCTCCAGTTTTTGAAGCCAAGAGGAATCAAATTAACACTGACTCATACAAAATAAATTTGCCTTGGATCAGAGCTGTATTCAATGGTATAGAATGTCAGAATTCTTTGTGAAAGTTGAAAAAATTGTGATGAGATTAAGTGTGCAATTATCCCAATTTCACCATGCCAAAAAAGGTTAATATTTCACTTTCTCTGAGTTATGTCCATAATCCTGATAGGGGGAATTTGCACTGCCTCCTTATGGACCTTGGAGGCCCATGCAGCCAGCAAGAAAATTAGAGGGAATGCTCCTGGTGCTGCTTGTACAAATTGCATGTCTCATTTCCTACATTACAGCATTACTTCAACAATGGGATGCTTTGGGGGTTGGTTAACTCTGTTGGCTAGTTGAAAGCAAAATAGTGTCTACAGCATGATACCCCTTACTGGTAGTTCAAGGAGGCCTGCCTCCTTCCTTTACCCATGCTTAATGCAGATTGATGCCCCTTAAGCCAATTAACCACTTATCTCTCTCTAGCAGGGATGCCTATCCCTCATGGGCTGTTACTAATGACCAAATATGAAAATTACTTTTGAGATTATAAAATGGTGTGTATTAATAAAAATTTTGTCTTTTTCTCAAATATAAAGCAAAGTGCTGTTGAAATGTGGGTCTGGCAGCATCTGTGGAGAGAAACACAGTTAACATTTTAAATCCAATAAGGGAACTCTTCAGAGCTAAATAAGTGTTGTACTAGACTCGAAACATTAACTGTTTCTGATTCCACAAATTTTGCCAAACCAACTGAGATTCTCCAGTATTATCTGTTTTTAGTCCAGATCCCTAGCATCTACAGTACTTTGCCTTTGTTTGTCTTTTTCTCATTGGTTTTGGAGACATAGCAAGAATCTATGTATTCTGTCAGTCGACTTACACAGTCAACAGTTTTATAATTTTCTAATATTTCTACCGTATTTTATTCTCCATTCTCTATACGTTCCTTTTCCTTCTGTGCCAACTGCAGTCTAATATTGGGCTTGCAACAGACCACTGAACTAGTTATATAAAGTAGCTGAGCTTCATGACATGGATGGACAAAATGTACTTTGGTTAGATGGTGGAAAGAACTTGTGCTTAATTCTAACTGTGGAGGTAGCCCTTATCCCAGTGTAACAATCTGTTTCAGTATTCATATGGCTCAATTGCAGCCTCTAGTGGCAGCAGCAAAATGTCACATCTGCACTGTATTGAGTGCTCGTATTTGCTTGATAACTGCAATAATTTTTGAACACTAAGCTTCTACCAGTTTGCTCATAAAACAAGTTTGCCCAATTGTCCGCAAGACTTGGTTTTTTTAAAAGCTATAAATTTTTAAACGTTCAAGTCATCATTTAGCACCAGAATCATCCCTTTAGAAGATCGATTGTGATTGCTTGCTCCCAATGGATTGTTGCGCTGTCTTTTCGATATTGGGACATGGATTTTAAATCCAACAGATCATTGGCGATTTAGTGATGAACTGAACGTCGTGATACTCAGCAAAAAATTGTTCTGCAATTCTGTAGAAAAAGAGGTAAACATAATGCACCCATTGAGCATGGCCCAGATTAATTGCGGTTATGGTGGCCGTGCAATTTAATAATCTGTGCTCAGTCATGACAATTGGCCATTTAGACAAAGGAGTGGTGGATTTCTGCAATCTGTAGGCCAAGAAGAAGTGGGGAAAGAAATGTGGTGCACAGTTCTGAGGAAGGGTCACTGGACCCGAAACGTTAACTCTGTTTTTTCCTTCACAGATGCTGCCAGACCTGCTGAGCTTCTCCAGCAACTTTGTTTTTGTTCCTGATTTACAGCATCCGCAGTTCTTTTGGTTTTTACACTTAATCTACACGTTCCTGAACACTATGGGCAATTTAGTATGCCCAATCCACCTAGCCTGCACACCTTTGGACTATGGTAGGAAACTAGAACACCCGGAGGAAACCCACACAGGCACATGGAGAACGTGCAAACTCAACATTGACAGTCGTCCAAGGGTGGAATTGTACCTGGGTCCCTGGCGCTGTGAGGCAGCAGTGCTAACCACTATGCCTCCGAAAAAAAGGATGTTATTGCCATATAAAGGAAGGTTCACCAGGGTGGTATGACTACTGTATGAGGAGAAATTGGGCAGACCGGACCTGTATACTCTCGAGATTCAAAATGTGAGAGATGATCTCATTGAAATCTACAAAGTGCTTAAAGAAAAAGACTGGATTGATGCAGGTCAGATGCTTCCTATGGTTGGGGGAGTCTAGAACCAAGCGACACAAAAATAATGGGGATGCCATTTAGAGCTGAGATGAGAATTTCTTTTTACTCAAGGAAATGAATCTTTGGAGTTCTGTGCTGGAGGTGCTCAGTATTTGAGTGTATTTAATGTAGAAGTTGTTAAGTATTTGATTATCAGTGGTGTAAAGTGTTATGGGGATTGTGTAGTTAAAATACAAATCTACTCCAAAACCTTAGAAAACATGTTGAAGTGTTCAGTCAGCTTGATTGTATTAAATGATAGAGTATGCTTGATAGGCTGAATAGCCTACTCCTGTTCCTGTGTTCCTATGAGGGGTAGATGTAACATTCCTTATTTGCTCTGTCGTGTTTTACAAGAGCTGTTCCAAGAATGAGGAACTTCAGTTATGTGGATGGATCAGAGAAGCTAGGGCTGTTCTCCTTAGAAGAGAAAAGACTGAGAGGAAGTTTGATAGAATGTTCAAAATCATGAGCAGGTGCGGAAAAACCACTTCCTGATAGAAGGAATCACAAAAAGCGAGCATGTAGATTAGGCAAGGAATTAGGAAAGCAAATGGAATGTTGGCCTTTATTGCAAATGAATTGAATGTAAACAAAGTAAGCTTTGCCACAACTATACAGGGCATTGGTGAGATCACATCTAGAATATAATGTAAAGTTTGTCTCCTTATGGACAGAATACTTAAATTGGAAGCAATTTAGGAAAGGTTCACTTGTCCGATTCATGGTATGAGGGTTTGTCATTTGAGAATAGGTTGAGCACTTTGGACCTAAACCTTTTGGAGTTTAGACAAATGAGATGTGTTCTTATTGAAACATGTAAGATTCCATGGGACTTGATAGAATAGATGCTCAAAAGATATATGTCCCCTCTTGACAGAATCCACAGTTTCAAAATTAGGTGTCTTCCATTTATAGTGGAGATGAAGAATTTCTCCTCAAGGGTCATAAGTGTTTGAAATTCTCTTCCATGGACAGCAGTGAAAGCTGGGTCATTGTCTAGTTCAGCCTTTAATGTGTTCAGATTTGTGATCTACAAAGGAGTCTAGGGTTATTTGGGGCAGGTAGGAAAGTAGAGTTAAAGTAGTCATATCAAGTATGAGCTTATTGAGTAGCAAAATTCCTACTTCTTATGCCATTATGTTATATGATTCAAAAATCAGAGGACATCAATATATTGTGAATGGCATTTAACAAAAGGTGACATCAGGGGAAAAAAACATTCTGGTTCCAATCTGGGAAGCACTACCTTAAGAATATGGTGGAGATAGATTCAGTTGCACCTTTCAAAAGAGAATTGGTTAAGAATCTGAGCAGAGAAAATTTGGAGAGCTACAGGAAAGGGCAAGGGAGTGGGGTTAGCTGAGTTGCTCTTATAGAGAGCTAACATGAACACATCAGGTTAAATAGTCACTGTGCTGTAATCATTCAATGATTCTACATTGAGTTAAATTCATTTCCAAACTGTTTCTTGAAGAACGTTGTTGAAAAGTAAAACTCCTGAAGATTTAGAATGGTTTTTTAGCTCACCTGAGCTTATTTGCTCCTTTGTACACCACTTTGATTTGAAATTGTTCCCTGCAGTATGAAATGTATTGAGTATGATATGTAGACAGTTTTTTTGAAGAAGCTTATTTGTTTTTACAGCACTGATGAAACCGCCTCAGAAAACATCTTGAAAGCAGAAATGACTATGGCTTCTCTCTGTGGCAAACTGAGTCTTGTTACACCAAGAGATGCGTTCATCACTGCCATTTGCAAGGCGTCTCTTCCCCCACATTATGCACTAACTGTTCTGAATAGTTCTTCTGGTGGTTTGCATAAAAGTGAGTAGCTTTTGCATATTGCAGATGTTACATTTTTATTTAATTGATTTTAGTTTGTATTTTTGAAAAGTAGTAATGGACAAATTGCATTCAGTTTGATGAAATTTATCTGTGGTTTTATTGAAAATGCAACTCTATCTGGAATGAACAGTTTAGGACAGTTCTTCCTCCAAATATGCTCATTTTCCTCTTGAGAAATTGCATCAAATTATATAGCATTTCTTACATTGATTGGTTACTGCTACTTTGTGGAGATATTGATTTGATTGGAATTGGTTAGTAAATATGCTTTTTGCTTTGGTGCTGACCATATGGTCAAGAATGGACTGTGGATAGTGCTGAAACAGCTGATATCTGCTAGACTGATGGTGGGGACAGTGTATTTGGCTTCAGTGTTCCTTAAGCAGAAAGTGATAAAGCTGTAATAGTTTCTGCTGCTGGTGGTGTTGCTCAGAATCACACAAATATCAATACCAGGCCATTGGATAAGGAGAAGGTCCTTTTCTGTTGTGTATGTCATAGTCAGTATATTTGTATACATTTAAGAGACACAGTATGTCAATAAACCTTTGTAACATGCCTTTGCAACAGGCATCATCACAGTATGTAGCATGAGCCCTATCTTGGGCTCCTCCTTAACTCTGATTATTTGAAGCATTACAAGCTACAGGTGAGCATGCTGCTCTGTGCAACTTAATGGCTTGATATTAGCCTAGACTCTGATGTGCATGTGGAAATAAAATTAGTATACAATAGCTAGCTGTAATGAACGTAGAATCCCTACAGTGTGGAAGCAGGCCATTCGGCCCATCAAGTCCACACCGCCCCTCCAAAGAGCATCCCACCTATATTCCTACCCTATCCCTGTAACCCTGCATTTTCCCATGTCTAAGCCATCTAGCCCACATATCCCTGGATACTATGGGCAATTTAGCAAGGCCAATCCACCTAATGTGTACATCTCTTGACTGTGGGAGGAAACTGGAGCACCCGGAGGAAACCCATGCATACACGGGGAGAATGTGCAAATTCCACACAGACAATCGCCCGAGGCTGGAATAGAATCTGGGTCGTTGGTGCTGTGAGGCTGCAGTGCTGCCCCAAATTTAACATCTGTTGAGTTCCTTCATGTCAAAAATCACGTGACACCAGGTTATAGTCCAACAGGTTTATTTAAAAACACTAGCTTTCAGAGCCTTGTTTCTTCATCAGGTGTAGTGAGAGACGAGGTATCAAGACACAGAATTTATAAGTAAAAGGTCAAAAGATCATACAACTGATGCGAATGTATTGAATAAACCTAAAATGGCTGGCTGACTCTCTGCTGTTAAATCTGTAATCAGTTAGAAAGGAACTGCAGGTTTCAATTGATTAAAATGCAAATCCCAGAATTTCTTACAAGTCACTGCCCCAAGATGACTAAAGGTTTTATCAGTATATACGAGAGATGATATCTCAGAATCAGACAATGCATTTTAGGTGTGAGACCTTGTTTAGTATCTGCCTTGTTTTAACCTGGTGTCAGACTGGTTTTATTTCCAAAGCAGGAATTTATAAAATTCCCATTGACTGATTGTGTGTACAAATTGTATGCTTTTTGTACAAAATATAATATATCTGCAAGAACATAAGAACATAAGAACTAGGAGCAGGAGTAGGCCGTCTGGCCCTTCAAGCCTGCTCCACCATTAAATAAGATCATGGCTGATCCTTTCGTGGACTCAGATCCACTTACCCGCATTCTCACCGTATCCCTTAATTCCTTTATTGTTCAAAAAAAATCTACCTTTTTTTTAAAAACGTTTACTGAAGTAGCGTCAACTACTTCACTGGGCAAGGAATTCCATAGACTAACAACCCTCTGGGTGAAGAAATTCCTTCTCAGTTCAGTCCTAAATCTGCTCCCTCTAATCTTGAGGCTATGCCCTCTTGTCCTAGCTTCACCTGCCAGTGGAAACATCCTGTCTACTTCTATCTTATCTATTCCCTTCATAATTTTATATGTTTCTATAAGATCCCCCCTCAATCTTCTGAATTCCAATGAATATAATCCCAATCTACTCAGTCTCTCCTCATAAGCCAACCCCCTCAACTCCGGAATCAACCTAGTGAACCCCTTTGCACCCCTTCCAGTGCCAGTACATCCTTTCTCAAGTAAGGAGACCAAAACTGCACACAGTACTCCAGATGTGGCCTCACCAGCACCTTGTACAGCTGCAACATAACCTCTCTGCTTTTTATTTCAATCCCTTTAGCAATGAAGGACAAAATTCCATTTGCCTTCCTAATTACTTGTTGTACCTGCAGACCTACCTTCTGTGATTCATGCACAAGGACACCCAGGTCCCTCTGCATAGCAGCATGCTGCAACTTTTTACCATTCAAGTAATAATCCTTTTTACTATTACTCCTACCAAAATGTATGACTTCACATTTATTTACATTGTATTCCATCTGCCAGACCTTTGCCCACTCACTCAATGTATCTATGTTCCTGTGTGCAAAGTTTCACAGTCCTCTGCACACTTTGCTTTGCCACTCACCTTAGTGTAATCTGCAAACTTTGACACCCTACACGTGGTCCCCAACTCCAAATCATCTATATAAATTGTAAATAATTGCGGTCCCAACACCGATCCCTGAGGCACACCACTTGTCACTGAGCCCATACAAATCTGCAAATGCAAATTCACCCCATAGATTTGAGGGCGTGTGTGTGAATGTTTGAGAGAAAGTGTGTGTGAGTGAGTGAGTGCAGGTCTGGGGGTGTGTGTGTGTGTGTGTGTGTGTGTGTGTGTGTGTGTGTGTGTGTG